CATCGCAGTCGACCCAGAGGAGCGCGGCGCAACCGCTGCAGCGCAGCAAGTAGACGCCAAAGTTGCGCGGTGCCTCGAGGCACTCATCCTGCCTCACGACGACTACGCCATGGAGCTCCGACGCCTATCTGCTCCGCCAGCGCCCGGCCCCGACGCCGCGCGGCCCCAAGGGCGCCGCCGGACGGGGGCCCCGGCCTGGTTTTTATAATGAAAATAAACGGATTCTCCAGCACCCCCCCCCTTTTTCGCCCTCGTCGTCGCCCTCGCCCCCCTTCGCTTCCTCGCCCCCCCCCCCCCCCCCCGATCCCGACGCCGGGCCGCCCCGAGAGCGCGGCTAGAGGGGCCTCCGGGCCAATTTTTACAGAAAAACTGCCCAGCAGCCCCTGCGGGGGCGGACAGAGAAAACCAACGAGAAACACCGCCCCCGCAGAGGAGTCGCCATCGTCGTCGTCGCCGTCGTCGTCGCCCCCGCCGTCGACGTCGTAGTCGTCGTCGTCGCGCTCGTGGTCGCGGTCGTGGTTGTGGTTGTCGTTTATCCTTTGGTGCCGCCGTTGCTGGCGGGGGCCCAATGCCCTGCCGCGCCTGGCCCGGTCGACGGCAGCGCCGCAAGAGACAAGAGGAGGAGGGTGGGGCGGGAGAAAATGCGAGAAAAGAAGGAGTAGACGAGGAAGAGGAAAACTCCCTTCCAGATGCAAGGGCCAAGATGAGAAGGCGAAGCGCAGCGAGCCTTAAATAAATCTGTAATTTTTTATACATATAAACACGCACGCACACACGCACGCACGCGCGCACACACAGACACACACACGCACACACGCAAACACACAAACACACACACGCACACACGCACACGCACACGCACACACACACACAGACGCACACGCACACACACGCACGCACGCACACACTCACTCACTCACTCTCGCAGACTCTCACACACAGACGCACCCACACACACAAACACACACACGCACACATACACACACACGCACGCACACATACACACACACACACACCACACACACACCACACACACCACACACACACACACACACACACCACACACACACACACACACACACACACGCGACGCACACCACCCACGACAGCATCATCGGGCGGCATGCGGCGGCACTGGGGCCGCAGGCTCGGCCGCGCTCAGCGCAGGCGTCGCGGCCTCCAACCAGCCCGCCCCCTCGCCGTGCGTCGTCGCGGCGCCGGGCAGCGCCGCGTGGTCAGCCAGCCTGCGGGTCGCCACCTCGCGCTGCATCCGGCGCGCTCGCCCCCTCGCCAGGCGGCCCGGCGCGGCCCCCGCCCCCTCTGGCAGCCGCGCCGCGAGCCCCCGCGCCGCCGCCTCGGGCGCGGGTGGATGCGCAGCGTCGCCCGCGGCTTTCCGCGGGCATCGCCCCCGCGAGGCCGCGCGGCAGCAGTCGCCGCTGCAAGGGCCAGGGCTGGGCCGAGCGCGGGGGCTGCCAGCGGCCCCCCCGCGCTGTTGCCCATCCTCGCCCCCTTGGCACGCGGCCCGTTGGCATTGGCCGCCGCGCGACCGAAGGCCCCGTCGCGCTGGCCCGCGGGGGCGTCGACCGCCCCTCTCTGGAGGGCACCGCAGCCATGCCGCGGGGGCCTTGACCAGACCCCCCGTCGAGGGCCCCGCCTTGGCCCGCCGCGGCCCAGGAGAGCCAGCGGGGGCATCGGCCGCCCCCCCCCCCCCCACCCACCCCACCCCACGAAGGCACCGCGCCCCGCTGCCGCGGGGGCGTCGACAGCCCCTCCTCCGAGGGCGCGATTTGTTCTGCGGCCGTCTGCGCGCTAGACATCCCAGGAGCCACCGAAAGTGGCGGCAGTTTCGCAGATCGCAGCCCCCCGGGGACGGCAAGGTTTCATGGCGGCCCCATGCCGCCGTGGAGTTACCCGCCTCAACCATATCGGCGCCTGCCTTCCCAGGCTCAACTTGGCGCTTCGAGCCTGCGACGTCCACCGTCGGGGTGGCCGCGGTATTTGGGCCAGAGGCGCCCCCGTGGACTTTGCGCCCCAACGCTGCCACCGCCGTCAGCGCGCGGGAACCGACCGCTAGCTCCTCGGAGGGCCCAGCCGCCGACTTAACTGGGGGCGTCGGCCGCCCCGCTCCTGACGGCCCCCATTGACTCCGTGATCCCGGCTCTCCCGATCCTGCGATCGCCTGCCGGCGCCCGCCCTCGCCGGGCCGGGCCGGCGGGGCCTGGCCCGTCGGGCCCGCTCATGCCCGCGCCGAAGCTGGTCGCTGCAATCAGGCCTGCCGCGCGTAATCCTGCGCGCGTCGCAGCGCTGGCGTCGCCCCCCCTGCCGGCGCTGCGGCGCCGCTGCCGCCGCGCTGCTCGCGCTGCTGGCGCCGGCCAACAAGGCAGCCGCGTGGGGCGGTGGCCCGCGGGGCGCCGCTCCCGGCGCCCACTTGGGCCTTGTCCCGCGCATCTCGATGGCCCCCGCCCAGCCTTCGCAATCGCCGCGCGGCCCAGGGACGCCGCCTCGCGCGCGGCCCTGGGGCGCCGCTGCAATCGGCGCCATGGACTCCGCCAACGCCCCCCACTGCGTCGCCACATCATTGCCCCTCGCCCGGCGACCCCAATCCTGGAGGCCAGCCTCGCAAATGGCTAGGGACCCGCGGCGATCGCTGCTCTGGGAGATGGTGGCGCGGCGCGGGATGGCCCAGAGTCGTCATTCATCGCTCATCTCGACATGGTCGGGCACGGCGACATCGATGACCCTGAGAGTCGCGCGCGCTGCTAAGTTCCGCCCCGACGCCGCGGCCACGGCGGGCGGCGCGCCTTCCAGAGGAGCCTTCGGCGGCGCCGTGGGCTCGCCCTCCTCGCCGCCGCGCAGGCGCTGGGCCCTTGCTAGCCGCTCGGGCAGCGCATTCACGGACCGCCAAGTTCCCCCTGGTATCAGCCGAGCCGACCGTGGCGGGGCGCAGAGCCAACTCCTTCGGGCCGCTTGGTTCGCAGTTGTTTTGTTTTTTTGTTCGCTCGGCTGGGCGCTCTCCTGCGCCGCGTTCCCAACTCCTGCTGTCGGCGCGAAGGATGGGGGCAGTCCTCCTGCTGCGTGATGTCGCATCGCCAGTCGCCCGCCAGGTCCGTCTCGTCGCGGGGCGCGGGGCGGGGGAGCTGCGCGCCCCCAGAGGGGCTCGAACGCGGGCGCGGGCGGTCATCTGCCTCGCGCGGGTCGCCCTCAGGGCGACGTGGGCCCCGAGACATGCCTCGCCTGCCGCGGGGGCACTTGCGTGTCCCTGCCAAAACTCGGTCGCAAGTGGCTGGGCCGCGATGCGATGCGATGCGCCCGTCGCGGCCGACCACGCATGATCTGGCGATGCGGACATGCGTCATCTGCCTGGCGAGCTCTGCCCCGTGCGCCCGCCCCTCCAGCCGCTGGATCAGCGGCCTGAAGACACCGCGTCAATTAAACGACTGGCACCGTGCACGAGCATGAATTTCGGGCAATCCGCTCCAGCTCGTCGTGCTCGAACCTGCTGGGGAGCAACGCCGCGTCGGGGAGGGCGTTCAGCCGCGCGCGCTGGTCGGCGAACAAGGCGTTGCGCACGAACGCGACGCAGTCCTCCTCACACTGAAGGCGTCCCCGTAGCTTTTCTAGAGCAGCAAAGTCCCCTGTGCCCGGAAGTCGAGCCATCGTGCCGATCAGTTCCTGTGATGTTTCCTGTGCCTGGAAGTACTCGAAATCCGTGGCGTCGGCTGGAAGCTCTGCGGCGCCGTTGCCAGCCTGTGCGGGGGCATCGGCCGCGCCTCTTGCGAGGATCCCGCACCTCTGGTGAGCAGGGGCGTCGGTCACCCCTCCTCGGAAGGCCCCGTTACTTGCCAGCATGACGGCGTTGGCCACCCCCACACGAATGGTGGGGGCATCGACCACCCCTCCCTTGAGGTCGCCCGACCACCCCTCCTGCGAGGGCCCCACTTGTCGCGTCCTGACTTCCGTGGGTTCGCCTGGGCCAGCGGTCCTAAAGCCCGGAGACGCGAGCACGCCGCTCTCGAGCTCGAGCGTCGGCGTTGCGATTCCCTGCGTCATCTGACCGAAGTCGTTCGTCCGGATGTGCGTGCGGATGCTGCACGTCGCCGCCTTGAGCAAGTGTTCCAACGTGGTGTGCAGCATGTGGTTTGCAGCGTAGCCGCAACGTCCTCCTGGGGCACCTGTAAATCAACAAGACGGTGTAGCGCTGCCGTGGCCTGCGTGTGAGCGGCGAGGTTGGCAGTCCAACCAACGTCGGTGTTCGGAAAAACTGGCCCACGCATTGCAGGATACGTACCGTGCTCCTGAGATGGTGCCCTCGTACAGTCGGACTTCATTGGCAGGACTCGCGAGAGGACACAAAACCCTTCCGAGGGCCACATTGCCGTAGGAATGCAGGAGGCACGGGTCGCGAAGCACAGGACACAAAGGTACCCTTGATTTGGCAAGGTCGATCTACTAATCCGGGCCGGCTGTAGTCGTGTTCCACGATGACTGCCTTTGGTGTCAGAGCTGTCGTGGTGGCGCCCGCGGTTCCTGGATATCCCACTTGCCGCAGATGGACCCCCTGGAGACCGCCCACGTCATGAAGCAGCTGCGGCCGAGAGCGTTCTGCATGCGTGCTTTCAGCATCATCTCGAACCCTGGCGTGAAGAGCGCGTGCATTGCGCCAAGCGTGGCCAACAAATCGGCCCGGCAGCTTCACAGCCAATGTACGAGGTTGACGCGGGCGTTGCCGACCATGCCATCAAGGTTCTTGTGGTGGCACGGAGACGTTGCCTTGGCGATGACGTTGCGGATGTCGCGCCACAGTTTGGCGCGGGAGGAAACATGAGGACGAGGGTTGAGGAGCACGGGGAGTAACCGCAGATCCTGATTGTTTGATCTTGCTACCCCCACCTTGGTCTGGGCCACCGCGCCTAGCTCTGTCTACGTTCTTTGCATTTTCCAAACGAGCGCTGCGAGTCTCCATGCTTAGAGCCGCGCCAACGTAAAATGGAGCGGCAGGCCTCTGCGGAGGCATATCTCGAAGATTGCGCGCATGATGCGGCCCGCGGACTGCTGCACGTAAACCATGTCCGACATCAGCGCGAATCCGTCCATCTTCAGCTTGGAGATGTAAGC